AGGCTTTGTTACTTTGGTCCCATCTCTCTGCAGGTCATTCACTAGGTCCCCCCGTGTGGTTCTGGGATTTTTGCTCACCGTTCTTGTGATCATTTTGACCCCACGGGGTGAGATCTTGCGTGGAGCCCCAGATCGAGGGAGATTATCAGTGGTCTTGTATGTCTTCCATTTCCTAATAATTGCTCCCACAGTTGATTTCTTCAAACCAAGCTGCTTACCTATTGCAGATTCAGTCTTCCCAGCCTGGTGCAGGTCTACAATTTTGTTTCTGGTGTCCTTTGACAGCTCTTTGGTCTTGACCATAGTGGAGTTTGGAGTGTGACTGTTTGAGGTTGTGGACAGGTGTCTTTTATACTGATAACAAGTTCAAACAGGTGCCGTTAATACAGGTAACGAGTGGAGGACAGAGGAGCCTCTTAAAGAAGAAGTTACAGGTCTGTGAGAGCCAGAAATCTTGCTTGTTTGTAGGTGACCAAATACTTATTTTCTACCATAATTTGCAAATAAATTCATTAAAAATCCTACAATGTGATTTTCTGTAATTTTTTTTCTCAATTTGTCTGTCATAGTTGATGTGTACCTATGATGAAAATGACAGGCCTCTCTCATCTTTTTAAGTGGGAGAACTTGCACAATTGGTGGCTGACTAAATACTTTTTTTCCCCACTGTAACTTGTTTCAAAAAATTCAAAAAAATAAATAACGGAAAAGTGGTGCGTGCATATGTATTTGCTATGAAGCCCCTAAATAAGTACTGGTGCAACCAATTACCTTCAGAAGTCACATAATTAGTAAAATAAAGTCCACCTGTGTGCAATCTAAGTGTCACATGATCTGTCACATGATCTCAGTATACAGTGGGGGAAAAAAGTATTTAGTCAGCCACCAATTGTGCAAGTTCTCCCACTTAAAAAGATGAGAGAGGCCTGTAATTTTCATCATAGGTACACGTCAACTATGACAGACAAATTGAGAAAGAAAATCCAGAAAATCACATTGTAGGATTTTTTATGAATTTATTTGCAAATTATGGTGGAAAATAAGTATTTGGTCACCTACAAACAAGCAAGATTTCTGGCTCTCACAGACCTGTAACTTCTTCTTTAAGAGGCTCCTCTGTCCTCCACTCGTTACCTGTATTAATGGCACCTGTTTGAACTTGTTATCAGTATAAAAGACACCTGTCCACAACCTCAAACAGTCACACTCCAAACTCCACTATGGCCAAGACCAAAGAGCTGTCAAAGGACACCAGAAACAAAATTGTAGACCTGCACCAGGCTGGGAAGACTGAATCTGCAATAGGTAAGCAGCTTGGTTTGAAGAAATCAACTGTGTGAGGAATTATTAGGAAATGGAAGACATACAAGACCACTGATAATCTCCCTCGATCTGGGGCTCCACGCAAGATCTCACCCCGTGGGGTCAAAATGATCACAAGAACAGTGAGCAAAATTCCCAGAACCACACGGGGGACCTAGTCAATGACCTGCAGAGAGCTGGGACCAAAGTAACAAAGCCTACCATCAGCAACACACTACGCCGCCAGGGACTCAAATCCTGCAGTGCAAGACGTGTCCCCCTGCTTAAGCCAGTACATGTCCAGGCCCGTCGGAAGTTTGCTAGAGTGCATTTGGATGATCCAGAAGAGGATTGGGAGAATGTCATATGGTCAGATGAAACCAAAATATAACTTTTTGGTAAAAACTCAACTCGTCGTGTTTGGAGGACAAAGAATGCTGAGTTGCATCCAAAGAACACCATACCTACTGTGAAGCATGGGGGTGGAAACATCATGCTTTGGGGCTGTTTTTCTGCAAAGGCACCAGGACGACTGATCCGTGTAAAGGAAAGAATGAATGGGGCCATGTATCGTGAGATTTTGAGTGAAAACCTCCTTCCATCAGCAAGGGCATTGAAGATGAAACGTGGCTGGGTCTTTCAGCATGACAATGATCCCAAACACACCGCCCGGGCAACGAAGGAGTGGCTTCGTAAGAAGCATTTCAAGGTCCTGGAGTGGCCTAGCCAGTCTCCAGATCTCAACCCCATAGAAAATCTTTGGAGGGAGTTGAAAGTCCGTGTTGCCCAGCGACAGCCCCAAAACATCACTGCTCTAGAGGAGATCTGCATGGAGGAATGGGCCAAAATACCAGCAACAGTGTGTGAAAACCTTGTGAAGACTTACAGAAAACGTTTGACCTGTGTCATTGCCAACAAAGGGTATATAACAAAGTATTGAGAAACTTTTGTTATTGACCAAATACTTATTTTCCACCATAATTTGCAAATAAATTCATACAAAATCCTACAATGTGATTTTCTGGATTTTTTTTTCTCATTTTGTCTTTCATAGTTGACGTGTACCTATGATGAAAATTACATGCCTCTCTCATCTTTTTAAGTGGGAGAACTTGCACAATTGGTGGCTGACTAAATACTTTTTTCCCCCACTGTATATACACCTGTTCTGAAAGGCACCAGAGTCTGCAACACCACTAAGCAAGGGGCACCACCAAGCAAGCGGCACCATGAAGACCAAGGATCTCTCCAAACAGGTCAGGGACAAATTTGTGGAGAAGTACAGATCAGGGTTGGGTTATAAAATAATATCAGAAACTTTTAACATCCCATGGAGCATCATTAAATCCGTTATTAAAAAATGGAAAGAATATGGCACCACAACAAACCTGCCAAGAGAGGGCCGCCCACCAAAACTCACGGACCTGGCAAGGAGGGCATTAATCAGAGAGGCAACAAAGATACCAAAGATAACCCTGAAGGAGCTACAAAGCTCCACAGCGGAGAATGGAGTATCTGTCCATAGGACCACTTTAAGCCGTACACTCCACAGAACTGGGCTTTACAGAAGAGTGGCCAGAAAAAAGCCATTGCTTAAAGAAAAAAATAAGCAAACACGTTTGGTGTTCACCAAAAGGCATGTGGATAAAGGTACTCTGGTTAGATGAGACTGAAATTGAGCTTTTTGGCCATCAAGGAAAACGCTATGTCTGGCGCAAACCCAACACCTCTCATTACCCCGAGAACGCCATCCCCACAGTGAAGCATGGTGGTGGCAGCATCATGCTGTGGGGATGTTTGTCATCGGCAGGGACTGGGAAACTGGTCAGAATTGAAGGAATGATGGATGACGCTAAATACAAGGAAATTCTTAAGGGAAAACTGTTTCAGTCTTCCAGAGATTTGAGACTGGGACGGAGGTTCACCTTCCAGCAGGACAATGACCCTAAGCATACTGCTAAAGCAACACTCGCGTGCTTTAAGGGGAAACATTTAAATGACTTGGAATGGCCTAGTCAAAGCCCAGACCTCAATCCAATTGAGAATCTGTGGTATGACTTAAAGATTGCTGTACACCAGCGGAACCCATCCAACTTGAAGGAGCTGGAGCAGTTTTGCCTTGAAGAACAGGCAAAAATCCCAGTGGCTAGATGTGCCAATTTTATAGAGACATACCCCAAGAGACTTGCAGTTGTAATTGCTGCAAAAGGTGGCTCTACAAAGTATTGACTTTTGGGAGGGTGAATAGTTATGCACGCTCAAGTTTTCTGTTTTTTTGTCTTATTTCTTGTTTGTTTCACACAAAAAAATATTTTGCATCTTCACAGTGGTAGGCATGTTGTGTAAATCAAATGATACAAACCCCCCCAAAAATCCATTTTAATTCCAGGTTGTAAGGCAACAAAATATGAAAAATGCCAAGGGGGGTGAATACTTTCGCAAGCCACTGTATTGTATCTATACTATCTATTGCATCTTAGCCTATGCCACTCTGATAATGACATTGCTCATCCATATATTTATATATTCTTATTCCATTCCTTTACTTAGATTTGTGTGTATTAGGTTTTTGTTGTGGAACTGTTAGATATTACTTGCTCGATATTACTGCACTGTCGGAACTAGAAGCACAAGCATTTCGCTACACTCGCAATGACATCTGCTAACCATGTGTATGTGACCAATACATTTGATTTGGTTTTGATTTGAAGATGCTTGTGTTGTGTAGACCCTATCTAGTTTTGGATGGATGCACCATTTTTATTGAGCTGTTTGGTTGGATTATGGTCCCAAGTGTATCAGTGATAAAACTGGATTTTCTAATCAGTGTCTTTCTAATCAAAGCAGAAATATGTCCTTTGTACCTTTTCATTTATATTTGAGTCATTTAGCAGACGCTCCTATCCAGAGCGACTTACAGTTAGTGAGTGCATACATTATTTTTTTTCTTTTTCATACTGGCCCCCCGTGGGAATCGAACCCTCAACCCTGGCATTGCAAATGCCATGCTCTACCAACTGAGCTACATCCCTGCCGGCCATTCCCTTGTACGCCACCATAGTAAAACATATTTTGGAAGCTATAGAAATTAATTTATTAATGTCTACATTCATTTTTTTGCCAAGTATATTCCATACAGACACCTTCATGCATACTTTTAAGTTATTTTATGTGAACTGAACATAACAAATAAAATAAACACAAACATTTCCCTTCAAGTATAATTTTTTTGAGAGTACTAATGTTAGTGTCCCCACTAAAACAAATAACTACTTGAATACATTTAATTTAAATACTGTAGAATTTCATTCATTCCTATGGAGACTGCTCCTTCTGAGGAGTACCAATATGGCAGCTAGAGGCTGCTTCAAAGCCTCTCATTGGCCAATACATAGCATCAGCAATCCAGGGTTTATATACATAATTGTTTGACACACACTCAGCTATCGCTCGGCAAGGACTGGTATTAGTCAGAGGACCCGAATGAATGATGAAAGAAACTGAAACAACAGGCTATATAAGTCTACGATTAGCGGCAATCTTTAATAGTACAGCAACAATGTTGTCCTCTGAATAGAACAGTCATATCGACATGGTTGGTTTTATTAGCTCGAGTTTAAATAAGATATATATCAATAACATGTAACATTTATCCTAGTGGACCACTTATTGGATAACCGTCGTTTGTAATAAGAATAATGATTCCCCAGTCGAGCAGAGAATTTATCGTCAAGATTTCTGGTTACTGGAAGCCGCTTTTCAAAGGCAGGTTTCTTCTTGTAACCAATACCATGAGCTGTGGGGGAATGCTTGCGCCGGCGACATCATTCAGCAAACCAGAGAGAAACCGAGGGTCCCTGAAAAGGCACGTGACTGGGCTCGTACAGGTAAGGACCTGGACCAAGGACAGCAATCCATGTTGTATGAAATAACTTCTGAAAGACAATTAACATGAGCGTGCGAGGGCAAGAGATATTCCTAATCATAGCCAAAAGAAAATGCATAGTCTTCACAAAAAAAGTTCAACTATAATATTCCAAAACACACTTATGTCCAATTTTATGCTTTATGTTGATAGGATTTTTGCATATTTTCATTATGTTTTTCAAGATACTATAGTAGTATATAGGCGTCAGTAATTGCAAGGACATGTATTTCATGTTGCTGTGTTACACTGCCCTCTGCAGGTTGCATGTTTGCAGTAGGACGCTCAATGGTACCAGTGGCTGGACAAGTTCTTTCTCGGCAATGCTCTACCTGCTGTCAGCAAGAAAGTCCTCACCGATCAGCTGATTGCATCACCGACCATGGCAGCATGGTATTTCATAGGTGAGTTATGGATGTGTTTTCTCAAGTTATTTTCAAGTCAGCATTTCAGTATACTAAGTAAAATCAATGTCTACTTGGACTGTTTGCTTGCTCTTATGGAAAACCTCACAACAAAACTCACACTAAAGTGGGGTTGGAGGGACTTCTATAGATGGGAACTGTTGTTTCTGTCTTCCTACAGGTATGGGCAAGATGGAGGGCCATAGTCTGTCTGAGGGCTTGGAGGACTTCTGGGAGTTCTAGAAGGTTAGTGGAACAGTATGACTGTGTTTTTAGTATCCTAGCCCTAATTATTCCCTACAGTTTGGCCTTTGTATTAGCTATCCTCTTACCTGATTGATTATATTATCCTTCTTTGTTTCGGAAGGCGTTTATTGTATCTTGCTTTTTAATGTATTCATTTACTTGATAAGAATGGTTTGGATTAGAAGCATATGCCCATTTTACTCTATATTTCTGTATTGATACCTCTCTAGTTCTCAAGGTTTGTTTGTGCTCCTTTTCCTTCAAGGCGGACTGGTGTGTTTGGCCCGCAGCACAGATGATCAACTTCTACTTCTTGCCTCCTAAGTTCTGAGTCCTCTATGTCAACGTCATCACCCTGGGGTGAGACACCTACCTCTCCTACCTCAAACACTGTAAGTGCTGCTCTGGCACCATTTTGTTACGTTGCCAATGAATCCAGTGTTCTTTAACAGTAAGTATGGTCTCTGCTGTTCCAGGCGACAATGTTGAAGGAAGCACTGGAGATATCACTGAACTGAATGAGCAAGAACAAGGGGAGTCAGGGTCAGCAACCAAACAGTTGGAAGAGAAGCTCTAACATTGGATGGTGTCTTTGGGAGCTTCGCAGGACTTCGATGTCAATGTCACTGACAATGGCAACATTCCTTATCATACGTGCCTTAAAATCACTACCTATCTTTAAGTGTTATATACTAAACTATGGTGAAAAAATTAGCCCCCCACACAATGCATACCACATGTACTGTACGGTGCATGCATTTTCACTATAGCCTAAAGATTTGTCTGCTTGTTTTTCTATTGAGTGTAGACAACTCCCTGGACTGTTTAAGTTTATTAGTATTGTAACGCAGTGTCCCGGGCCTCATCATCTCAGTCGGTGTGTTTTCTCCAGCTAATCTACCAGTGATTAGAGTGTTGGGACAGTAACCAAAAGGTTGCTAGTTCGAATCTTCGAGCCGGCAAGGTGGAAAAATCTGCCGTTCTGCCCTTGAACAAGGCGGTTAACCCCCACAGCAACTGCTCCCCGGGTGCCAATGACATGGATGTCGATTAAGGCATTCCCCCGTACTTCTGATTCAGAGGGGTTGGGTTAAATGCAGAAGACACATTTCGGTTGAATGCATTCAGTTGTGCAACTGACTAGGTATCCCCCTTTCCCTTTCCAACACATATCAGTGTTGTAATAGACATTAGTCACTGCATTTGTGTTATTTAAAAAATCTAATATTTTATTTATAGATATGGAATAGCTTTTTCAAGCATCTTAAGATATAGATTTAAATTATGTATTTTAATTTCAACAGATTACTTTACTGGTATGACTTGAATGTATCATTTAATATGCCTGTAGGTTTCTTATGCGTTTTATTAAAGTTAAATAAATGGCTTACCATATGATAATTGTTAATAAGGTATGTCAATGTAGCATTCCAATACTGTGGCTGCATAATCAATGATTATGTCAAACCCCAAACAAAATGTGTGTTTATAATTGTATTGTAACAGTGTAACAACATAACAACTCCAGATGTGTATTTATTAATGAGATCAGTAGGCCTATAAATAAATAAGAAAAGTTCCACATGCGACCCAACAAGATAGAACAACATTATGCATATATATGCCTACGATATACATTTGATGTTGATTTGGACTCCAAAACATTTAGTTCTCCTGTCATCGCTGCAACTACTTTATTCAGTCATGCATTCTCAGACCGTTTTCGGGGAGGGACTACAGCAGAAGGCCTGCCTAATTTTGGGACAATTTATTTTGTTTGTGGTAAAATGCTGATGTTGTAAGAGATATGGAGAAGACGCGCAATTAGCATAGCAGGTGATTCAAAGTGATTCCACAAACATTTTGTATTTCCATAGCACAAGTTGTGCACAAAAACGTATCAAGAAGTTATCATATGCATTACATTGTATGCACACTGTGCATTGAAAATGTTTTACCTGCATGAAGAAAATTGCATGTTTTGTATCCTCAAGATGGCATTATTTTCCCGCCATTCTGAGAGCCTAGAAGTCTAGCGCACAATGCTACTGCACCTGAGCTACAGTGGGGGAAAAAAGTATTTAGTCAGTCACCAATTGTGCAAGTTCTCCCACTTAAAAAGATGAGAGAGGCCTGTAATTTTCATCATAGGTACACGTCAACTATGACAGACAAATTGAGAATTTTTTTATGAATTTATTTGCAAATTATGGTGGAAAATAAGTATTTGGTCACCTACAAACAAGCAAGATTTCTGGCTCTCACAGACCTGTAACTTCTTCTTTAAGAGGCTCCTCTGTCCTCCACTCGTTACCTGTATTAAAGGCACCTGTTTGAACTTGTTATCAGTATAAAAGACACCTGTCCACAACCTCAAACAGTCACACTCCAAACTCCACTATGGCCAAGACCAAAGAGCTGTCAAAGGACACCAGAAACAAAATTGTAGACTTGCACCAGGCTGGGAAGACTGAATCTGCAATAGGTAAGCAGCTTGGTTTGAAGAAATCAACTGTGGGAGCAATTATTAGGAAATGGAAGACATACAAGACCACTGATAATCTCCCTCGATCTGGGGCTCCACGCAAGATCTCACCCCGTGCGGTCAAAATGATCACAAGAACGGTGAGCAAAAATCCCAGAACCACACGGGGGGACCTAGTCAATGACCTGCAGAGAGCTGGGACCAAAGTAACAAAGCCTACCATCAGCAACACACTACGCCGCCAGGGACTCAAATCCTGCAGTGCAAGACGTGTCCCCCTGCTTAAGCCAGTACATGTCCAGGCCCATCTGAAGTTTGCTAGAGTGCATTTGGATGATCCAGAAGAGGATTGGGAGAATGTCATATGGTCAGATGAAACCAAAATAGAACTTTTTGGTAAAAACTCATCTCGTCGTGTTTGGAGGACAAAGAATGCTGAGTTGCATCCAAAGAACACCATACCTACTGTGAAGCATGGAGGTGGAAACATCATGCTTTGAGGCTGTTTTTCTGCAAAGGGACCAGGACGACTGATCCGTGTAAAGGAAAGAATGAATGGGGCCATGTATTGTGAGATTTTTAGTGAAAACCTCCTTCCATCAGCAAGGGCATTGAAGATGAAATGTGGCTGGGTCTTTCAGCATGACAATGATCCCAAACACACCGCCCGGGCAACGAAGGAGTGGCTTCGTAAGAAGCATTTCAAGGTCCTGGAGTGGCCTAGCCAGTCTCCAGATCTCAACCCCATAGATAATCTTTGGAGGGAGTTGAAAGTCTGTGTTGCCCAGCGACAGCCCCAAAACATCACTGCTCTAGAGGAGATCTGCATGGAGGAATGGGCCAAAATACCAGCAACAGTGTGTGAAAACCTTGTGAAGACTTACAGAAAACGTTTGACCTGTGTCATTGCCAACAAAGGGTATATAACAAAGTATTGAGAAACTTTTGTTATTGACCAAATACTTATTTTCCACCATAATTTGCAAATAAATTCATAAAAAATCCTACAATGTGATTTTCTGGAGAAAAAAAATCTCATTTTGTCTGTCATATTTGACGTGTACCTATGATGAAAATTACAGGCCTCTCTCATCTTTTTAAGTGGGAGAACTTGCACAATTGGTGGCTGACTAAATACTTTTTTTCCCCACTGTATCTACTGAAATGGGCTAGTCATAGGCCTACCTCTCTTTGCAGACAGAACGCTTTTTATTGCGTATTGGAAGCCTTTCAAACTCAAATTCAGCTGGGGTCAACATAGGTTATCTCCTCATCCGTAGATAATATTATGTGACATATAAACTCTAGCGAACTCTGGCCTGCCAAACCAGATTTTGTCGATAGACATGCATGAATAATGGCATGTAATGAAGTATAGACTAGTATCTCTATTTCAAACCAGCATCTCTATTCTCATCTCTAGCTCTGCAGCTGAACAGTCAACTCTTCATTTTGTATTGTAGTACAAATCCGATTAGGACCCAATTGGCAACATCAAAGGTTGATGTGGACATTTAGCTCTGCATACAGAAGGGTTGAAATTGAGTGCAAAAGGCCAGTTCAGGCAAATGTCTTAAGGGTATTATGAAAGATCTAAAACATGATCTAAAACAAGGTTCCTCAACTGGCGGCCCCTGCAGGTGATTTTATTTGGCCACCCAAGTTTTCTGAGCCCAAAACAAAATACAGTGCATTCGGAAAGTATTCAGACACCTTCACCTTTTCCACATTTTGTTATGTTACAGCCTTATTCTAAAATTGATTACATATATTTTTTTCCTCATCACTCTACACACAATACCCCATAATGACAAAGGAAAAACAGATGTTTCGTTTAAATAAGTATTCAGACACAGTTTTTTGAGACTTGAAATTGAGCTCAGGTGCATCCTGATTCCAGTGATTATCCTTGAGATGTTTCTACAACTTGATTGGAGTCCACCTGTGGTAAATTCAATTGATCGGACATGATTTGGAAAGGCACACACCTGTCTATATAAAGGTCCCACAGTTGACAGTGCATGTCAGAGCAAAAACCAAGCCATGAGGTCAAAGGAATTGTCTGTATAGCTCAGAGACAGGATTGTGTCGAGGCACAGATCTGGGGGAGGGTACCAAATAATGTCTGCAGCATTGAAGGTCCCCAAGAACACAGTGGCTTCCAATATTCTTAAATTGAAGAAGTTTGGACCACCAAGACTCTTCCTAGAGCTGGCCACCCGGCCAAACTGAGCAATCGGGGGAGAAGGGCCTTGGTCAGGGAGGTGACCAAGAACCCGATGGTCACTCTGACAGAGATCCAGAGTTCCTCTGTGGAGATGGTAGAACCTTCCAGAAGGACAACCATCTCTGCAGCACTCCACCAATCAGGCCTTTATGGTATAGTGGCCAGACGGAAGCCACTCCTCAGTAAAAGGCACATGACAACCCGCTTGGAGTTTGTCAAAACGCACCTAAACGACTCTAAGTCCATGAGAAACAAGATTGTATGGTCTGATGAAACCAAGATTGAACTCTTTGGCCTGAATGCCAAGCGTCACGTCTGGAGGAAACCTGGCACCATCCTTACGGTGAAGCATGGTGGTGGCAGCATCATGCTGTGGGGATGATTTTTCAGCGGCAGGGACTGGGAGACCAGTCAGGATCAAGGGAAAGATGAACGAAGCAAAGTATAGAGAGATCCTTGATGAAAACCTGCTCCAGAGCGCTCAGGACCTCAGACTGGGGCGAAGGTTCACCTTCCAACAAGACAACGACCCTAAGCACCCAGCCAAGACAACGAAGGAGTGGCTTCGGGACAAGTCTCTGAATGTCCTTGAGTGGCCCAGCCAGAGCCTGGACTTGAACCCAATCGAACATGCCAAGCTTGTAGCGTCATACCCAAGGAGACTTGAAGGCTGTAATCGCTGCCAAAGGTGCTGCAACAAAGTACTGAGTAAAGGGTCTGAATACTTATGTAAATGTGATCCGTTTTGTATTTTTAATACATTTGCAAAAATTTATAAAAACCTGTTTTCGCTTTGTCATTATGGGGTATTGTGTGTTGATTGAGGATTTGATCAATTTTAGAATAAGGCTGTAATGTAACAAAG